CAGCAGCGCCTCATCGAGCCTGTCGTCGCGCAACGAGTGGATGCCGGTACCCGCCTTTCGGCCGGTGACCGCTGGAGGGTTCTGAGAGGGAGCGGATGAGCCGGATGCTGGTGGAAGCGACCTCGGGTATTCAGGCGTGGTCTCATGTCGGGTAGGGCTAGGTAGTTTCATGATGTTTCATTGGTTCTCGTGTTCTCCAGGATGAGCCGGGCTGAGTGGTGTAAGTTCTGAGACTCGTTGAGGGATGATTGGAAGGGCTGGGTTTTAAGTCTTTGTGACTTTTTTCGCACAAGATTACCTTAAAGAGATTCGAAGAGGGTAAGCCACCATGTAGCCAGGATGTGGATCTCGAGACAGGTGAATCCTGTCATACTCCAAAGAAGAGCAAGGGTTGGAAGCCGCCATTGATGCGGATTCATCGCTTCACTTTCAGAGACACAACTTGTCATCGAGATCCCAGTAGCAGCGGCTTGTGCTCTCCCCTGAACACCTCGGGAGAGCACACAGGCCCTTGGGCAAGAACTTGCTCGGAGGATGTTTGTGACATAGGTGAAGTGAGGTGTGGAACAAACGGATTTGAGCAACCTCGCTGGTCGCTTGCCCTGATTCTTCCCGAATTACCTGCTCAGGCTCAAGCATTCGGCATCTCAAGTTTGGCCAAGAAAACATAAGACAACATCTGAACATAAAACGTCCAGAAGCTGTGATAACAGATGTCGGCAACTTGCGAGTGTTCTGTCGAGAAGCCGGACAAGCAGCCTGGTACTGACTCAGATGCCTCTAAAGTCGAGGTTTCGTGGAACACCGGGTCGGCCACATGTGCCGTCCGCAGACGGAGCACTCGTGTGCGTTCAAACGCTCGAAGCTGCGAACCATGGACCACCAGCGGTTGAACTGATCGCCCGGGCGGCGGTTTTTTCCTGACCATGTGTTGGTTGACGAAGAGTAGCTCACGAAGAGTAGCTCACAAGTCCATTTTAACAAAAGCCCGCGACTGACCTTGTGAATCTGAGCAGCTTCCCAACCCAAGGTCATTGGGACGATCTTTGCTCCTTTGGGCCTTATGGTCCTCGAAAGCACCTGGTTGAGGCTGAGGGTGTTTTCGAAGCAGTGGATCGTGAAGGTAGAATCATACCAGGGCCCTGTCAGGTGTGCCTATTAATAGGCCCAAGGGATCAATATGAACATGTATGAACTAATGCTACAATGAAACGCAATCGCCCAGAGTCCAAGAAACTTCATGATGCCGCCCCTGGCCCTAGCTTTAGCAACCTTAGCATTACCAAGCCCTGCAGATTTGCTGCAACGAAGCTGAGCGCCAAGAAAGCTGGAACCTCCTTACGCAGCAGCTACAAGGACCATACAGAAAATCGTAGGTACAGAGTCTTTCACAGTTGATCCCCGTGAAAAGCCCTGGGATGCACTATAACATGCTTTCTTCAATCGAAAGCGAATTCACATATCAGTGCTGCTACTTGGACCATCTCCGCCAGGGCCTCTGCTTGGCAGTCGGTCGCCTCGGAGAGGGTTCGGCCTCGGTGGCCGAATAAACCACGTCTTCAAGATCACCAGAGATCACCAGTCCGGGTGGAGGCCATCGCTACTAGGGTGGAGGCCATTACTACTAGCTAGAAGCCAAGAAGCTACTAGGTTGGATGCCATCGCTAGTATACCAGTCCTGCTGGGAACGTTGCTCTTCTGTGCTCCCAGCAGCCCTAGTTTAGATGCGGTCACAAATCGAAGATTGCTTTAGGTGGGGTCAGCGCAGCTTCACAAGCGCATATCTACACTGATCTTTTTGGTCCATTGCATCTCGAAAGGAAGACAAATGAGATGAAGAAGGAAGGTCAGGCTCCCCTCTAACATGGCCATATATCATCCCTTTTTCATCTCTAATTTGGGTCTCCAGACCTCTCCAGACCCGAGGTTTTCTGTTCGTGTTCGTAACACGCTCGTCCTCAGGCACTACCTCATGGTTGGACCAAAGCCTTGCGCTTAGACGTTTCGACACCGGTCGTCGACCAGGCGCCGGTCGTCGACCCGCCGTCGCCCCACCCAGGTACTGGTAGACCTTCCACCGTCCGACTCTGGCGAGCCCGTGGAACCCGCGGGAGAGACGTCGAAAGATCAGGAGCAGTTGCTGAGCCGAAGAAAACGTCTTGAAATGGCCATGGCCAATGGCTGAGCTCCACACTTGTGCCAATTGAACTGGTTTCTGCGAGCTCCACATCTTTCAAAAGCGCCGACTTTTAGAGAATGCTCTGAAGATGGAGCCTTTTAAGAGGATTCTTGCACCATAGAGGATTCTCCTAGCGTTCCCTTTCCCCGCATTTGTTCTGGGCGACTGGAAAACTGAAGATCGTGTCTTTCGTTCATCTCCTCTCTGGCTTACAATGAGATTCTCAACCATGGGGCTTTCGCTGGTGAGAACCATTGGAGTTTCTTCCAGCAAGAATCCAGCCGGGTGAGAGCCTGCGATTTTCGGATCGTTGGAAAGCTGTGACTGGACGCATCAATCACCTGTTTGGCGCATGCTAGGCACTGTAGATGCTTGTCCTGGTCACTAGGTCCTTAGAAAGAACAATCCCAAAAAAGTGCCAGACTGATGTCATCAATGGTATATCAGGGGTGTATGGCTAAGGGCCCTTCTAAGGGCCCTTGTGGTATCTTCCATGTTGAACGACCGAATTCCTTGCAACACCTGTCGATCTGCTCCTGACGTCGTCCGACCGCCGCGCAGGAAGGACATGACATATCCTGCTTTTGTCTCAAAAGACGTGTTTGAAGCACCCATAAAACACACGTTGCGTTCAACAAACATCTTAAGACCAAGCAACCATTGGAATGTTGTCTTATCAAGACAGATCAGATGCACGAAGAACAGCTTGAAATCTGCTTCCAGCAACCTTCTGCCACACGCGCTGCAAGGTGTTCCAAGACGTGTGGCTCGAAAACGTGTGGCAAATGCTGCTGGGGCCAAAAGAAGGAGTTTTGCGAATCTGCTTTTGCGAACTTGTCTTTGCCACAATCGAATTTGTGACTCCGATCAGACATGTACATGTTCTCCAACCAGTCGAGTGAGTCCCGGTTTTTGACCACTAAACCGTTGACAAATAGACCGGTAAACCTTGTGGACATGACAGCGGGTCCTGTGGAGGTGCTTTCCAGATGCGACGTGGTCACATCGCTGTTCTCGTGGTGTGAGAACATAGAGGTCACCTTTGATAGACGCATATGTCCCATATGACTTGTACCGCAAGGTTTCAGGAAGCCCGTCAACCAACCCCAGTCGCTTCAGCAACACTGTTTTTATTTCCGGACTTGTAAAGTTGACTGGACATGACATTCACTGCCCTGGGCCCTTTTTTCAGCGCTGAAGTGCACGTGTTCTGGAAGCTGTGCAGAAGAGAATCGAGATCTTTTTGTTTTAGGCTTTGCGTCAGCTTTTGTTCGCCACATGTCGATGTGCCCGCCGTGAAGTGGGGCCAGCAGCTTTGCAGTAGCGATGGCCTCCACCCTACTAGCGGTTGGCCTCCAACGTTTGATCAAGGGCAAGTCTTCTGCCTCAGTTGTACTTGTCCCTGTTGGGCTGTGTGCTGCAAGGGAAATGCACCAAGCAAGAACTTGTGCGGGACATCAAAGCAACATGCTTTGGATGGAACATGTTCTTTGTCTTAATTCTATATATTTATTTTGAGTGAAAGCCCGACTCGGACGACTCGCTGCGCCGACTGCAGCTTTGGCCCACAGCAATGTGCGAAGCCGAACATGAAACTTTGGAACACTGCATGTCTCATCTACTTTCGAGGAAGATATGCTGCCTTGGAACCCATTAGCAGGCAGTTTTGTGGGGCTTGGGTCGCTTGGGTTTCAGGTACACCAGGATGTGTGGGCCAAACAGAGTCCCCAGGCAGTGATGCAGAGCCGATCCTCGACCATTGGAGTGTTTTCTGGGTCAACCAGTCCACGAGGCACGCCACGCCAGGAGGCACTTTGCCAAAAGTGCATTCAGAGCATTCAGACATGGCCAGTGCCATGAAGCGCCCCCCAGCGATGAAAAGGAAACGGGTTGCAAGAATGGAGGCACGGGCGGCACGCGCCAGCGGTTTCCAAGAGAAGTCCAATGGTCCAACCTCGACCGTCCTGGTTTGATGAGACCATCGATCCGAAATTCCAGGCACCTCTGGAGGATGAGAGTGAGGAGGAGTCGACAGACGATGAGGAGTCGACGCATGCGAGAGAGTTTCGCTCGAGAGGCTGATCAGGTTGGCGTCGTGTCGAGTCCCGCGTTGGTTGGGCTCCAACAAAAAAACACTCCCGAAGATTTGGCCAAAAACACTCCCAATTTCACCAACTGGACCTTCTTTTTGGACCACCTGGCGCCAGGATAGCGACGATGAAGAGATGGAGAAGTGGGAGGAGAAACTTATGCAAATGGAGGACAGGTGATACAAATTCGGCAGTGATCCTAAACCCTAAACCCAGCGTCCCTGGCGTGGTTGGCATGATCACTTCCGTTCGTTTTTGGCTTCTCTCAGGACGTGAAACCGAAGGATTTGCATCCAAAGGCCAGAGAAGCACCACACTTAGTGCCTGGACCGCACGAGTTGCTTTCCACGGCGCGTTCGTTGTTCGTTGTTCCGACAAATGGAACAACCAACTGGGGAATCATGACAGGTTCCAACTTACTCCAAGCATCAAGAAAAGCCGTAAGCTGAACCATGTTCAACCCATTGGATGTTTAACCTCGTGCTATGAAATGCTCATGTGTGGCTCAGTGCCACGGACAATTTCATGACCAACTGAGGCTATTTCATGGAACATTCCATTGAACTCCCCCTGGTTTCACTTAAAAAGCCTCGATACCGAGCCCAGAACCGTCGCGTCCCACCGTTCAAGCTGTCGCGTCCCGCTGTCGCGATGTCCGATGTTCCGGTCCGAAGGTGTCGAAGGCCAAAGCCGTGCCCTACGAACTGGTGATCCCCACCTATCAACGTTGGATGCCGGTGTGCCAGATGAGCAAGAAGACCCTCGGTGAGGCATACGCAGGCATACGCACGAGTTCGCCCGTGCTGTTTATTTATTACTATATTTATTTATTACTTTGTTTTTGTTTTTTCTTTTTATTATTATTATACTTTTTTATCGGGCGATGTCGCGATGCGATCTTGGATGGAGAGGTTTTTTGGGAAAGTGAAGTTTCCCTATAAACATTTGTACTTGATCAAGTAAGAGGTGAGGTGGCTTGAAGCCTCTCCTCTTGGAGTGGCTTGAATTTCATGGCAAGAGAATTGCGTGTTGTTTTTCACCGAGACATGCGTGACTGAGGAGAAGGTTCAAGAAATGCAAGACCTCCTTCATCTTGATGCACTCCTTGGGAATGCTCTCTCGCCAGAGGATCCCTAAGCATCGGGTCACACTCTTTGTGGCCAATGAGACTGAGAGGAGCCGCGAAACGGGCTGTGAGAGACTCACGGCATGTTGTTGGGACGCCTGTGCTCGCTTTCGTTTTAAAACTCATTAGGCCGAGGTTCCCACCGTTGAACTACTCCAAGTCACCCCCTTGAGGGTCTTTTCTCCACTCCCAAGTCATCATCTTTGATCCGGACTGTTCGAGCTCCTGAACACCACTTGAGGCACCTGAACAAAGCGGCTTTTGGTCCGACATGAGCACAAGGACACCAAAAAGAAACCAGGAAGCAACCAGAATGAAAGAGCACCTTCTTAATGAAGAGTAAGACTTGAAAGAGGACTCAGTCAGAGCTTGTCTTCGCCCCGCCATGTTTGCCGCGCTCGCTCTCTTGGATCTCCTTCGCCTCACCCCATGATTCTGCCCATCTTGTCCCCACCTGCCTAGTCCTTGAGGACCAAGTATCGTGCAGCCCTGGCGGGCAGCGAGTGGGAGAAGGTCCGCATCGAAGTCTCGGTCCTGGGACGCTTGGATCGCTCCCAGCGCTCGGTCCCTGCGCTCGCTCCGCGCGGTGCGTCACGTGGACGGAGGGATCGAAGGAGTGAGAAAAACGAGCCAAGGGTTAGGAAGGGAGGTGATCAACAAAGGTCGCCTGTTAATGGGGGCTGGATGGATTCCAGGGCTTTACAGTTGAAACTTCTCCATTTTGGGAGATTTCAGAAGTTTGGCCTCCATCTACTAGCGATGGCCTCCAAACTACTACGGATGGCCTCCAACCTAGAAGCGATGGCCTCCAACCTAATAGCGGTGGAAGCTTCTCGATTTTTGTAGCTGTTGCCTTTGTGAAGTTTGGATTTTCAATGTTTCGACGGGTACCTACTGGCTTCTTTTTGTCAAACCTTCCAGACCTTTGACGTACTTTGTGGTACTTATAGAAATCACAAATTGAACAAGACTCCAACTCGAAGGGTCTTCGTTTTCCGTTGACGAAATGTTAATTCTTCGACATTCCTCGCTTGTACAGTTTTCATCAGGCAGCCAGCAAACAAAGGTGTCGCTGTGCATAATGTGGCAGAGCTCAACAAGGATCACTCTGATCGATTCACCTGCCACCATTCCCTCAATCACTTCGTGCAGCTGAGGAAACAAAAACTCGCGGAACTTCATCATGACGGGCGGGTTGGATTTGGACTGACACGGTGTCGCTCTGTGTCGCTTGACACCCAGACGGGACCAATAAACCCACAGAAGGTGAACAGTTCTGGTTCTTTCTTCTTGGTACCTTCATGGTAGACAAAAAGAGAAAGACCAAATCTGTTTTTTGGGCCTGGATGACGGACGGCACACCGAAAGCGCTGGAAAAGATGGACGGACTTGCTCCCGCCTGCAGGGTACCGCGGAAATACTAGCGATGGTCTCCAACCAACTAGCGATGGCCTCCAACCCAATAGCGATGGCCTCCAACCTACTGGGGATGCAACCTAGTAGCGATGGCCTCCAACCTACTAGTGATGGCCTCCAACGAAATAGCGATGGCCTCCAACCTACTAGCGATGGCCTCCAACGAAATAGCGATGGCCTCCAACCCACTAGCGATGGCCTCCAACCAACTAGCTAAGGCCTCTAACCTACTAGCGATGGCCTCCAGTCTACTAGCTTTGCCTCCAACGAAATAGCGATGGCCTCCAACCTACTAGCAATGCCTCCAATCTACTAGTGATGGCCTCCAACGTACTAGCAATGGCCTCCAACCTACTAGCGATGGCCTCCAACCTACTAGCAATGGCCTCCAACCTACTAGCAATGGCCTCCAACCTACTAGTGATGGCCTCCAACCTACTAGCAATGGCCTCCAGCCTACTAGTGATGGCCTCCAACGAAATAGCGATGGCCTCCAACCTACTAGTGATGGCCTCCAACGAAATAGCGATGGCCTCCAACTCACTAGCAATGGCCTCCAGCAAAATAGCGCTGGCCTCCAATCAAATAGCGATGGCCTCCAACCTACTAGTGATGGCCTCCAACGAAATAGCGATGGCCTCCAACGAAATAGCAATGGCCTCCAACCTACTAGCGATGGCCTCCAACCAAATAGCATTCATTGGTGGCCGTCCTTCCGCGGATGATTTTGGCACCCGAGGTATCCCGAGGTCAAAAGATGTCGGCTGTTGAGATGTTCAAAAACGCATCTGCTGTTTTTTGTTTTTTCCGAAAGACTCCCCTCCCGAATCCTTTGGACTGACACCCATGCATGGGGCTTCGGGGTCTTTTTGTTGTGACAAGAGTGTCCCGTCTCGGTCCATTCGAACTGGAGTGCTCGATCAGGTCTGAAGAGGGATGAAGTATGAAGATGGACTAGGATGGATGGGAAAGACATTGAAGGAGGCTTATTGATCTTATTGTAGTTTATAGATTCTGTAGTTGCAGACCGTGACTGAAAATCCATACGTTTGGTTTCCAATGAGCAGAATCCTACCGACATGCAAAAGGCTGTATGAGGCATGGATGGCAGGGTTCATACGATTGGGAAGATATTCCTCGCAAGCCAAGAGTTGTAAGCGCTCAAGCCGAAGAACTTGGCGAAAGCAATCGGGGTTTTGCTCACGCATCATTAAACAAACAAGTTGTCAACCCGCGCAAAAGCACGGTTCCACTGAAGATGCACTGAGTGGACCACATTTTGGAAAGGCTCACTCTCACCAGTTCGACGGATCCTGCGGCAAAGCGAGGTGGACGCACAACGCCCCTGGGCCCCCTGCCTGTACTCCTTCAAGAGCTTGCTTATGCACCACGCGCGGGCTGTTCACTTGTTTTGTGTGCAACATGCTTCGCAAAAAGCTGAAGACAAGTGCGCCTTCGCTCGCAGGTGCGGGGCTTGCAGATCTGCTCGTGCGCCGAGGTCGGCCCCGTGAGCCGACGTGGGTTCCATCGCAGCGGCCGCAGGAAGTTCTTCCCGCCGGGTACCTATGTGGTAAGCATCGATGATGACGTGGAGAGGTTCTTCACTTAGTTCGGGGAAGCCTGCGGCCTTTGCATGTCCGATCTCCTTGCGCATGTCTTGATGCCACCGGAGGTCTTGCACCATGCTATGGTGCAGACTTCCATGTTTCCCTTCCGGCGTTCCTTTTGAGCTGCCCGAGGATCAGCTGGAAGATCCAGGAGGGGATGACCCACCACGTGCTTCGAAGTTTGCCGCCTGGGTCCTTGGTCGGGCCCCCCAGAAGCTTGGGGGGCAATTTTTGACGTGGGTTTCTGATGCTTTTGAACATGGACAAACATTGACATTGCGTGTATGGTTTTCCGCGACACATGTGCGACGTATCAAGAGTCTTCAAGCACGTGACAGTTGTTTTTACGCCCAGCCCTCGAAACTGATTTGCGTGTTGTTTTCACGAAAGGTAGCGGTTACGCTACCTGAGTTTTCCTTTTGCTTTAGCAAAAATGTATTAACCCAGAGCTGCAGCCTATCTCTCGGAGAAATGGTACCCGACATCTTCGTTTGCTGGCCGGGGGGGGGCCGCCCCCCCCCCTCTCAACTCCACCCTAGCGCGCCTCGGGGTCAACCGTTCGAAAACACTGTAAATATCAGTGTTTTCAGCTCTTCCAGTCTTCAGCAGTGACCAAAAATCATGGAATTTACAGCGTTTTTTTGTGGCTGTCCGGCAAAAAACACCGCAAAAACCGATGGTTTTTGATGCGCCTCGGTTAGAAAAATGACCAAAAAAAGACCAAAAACCAGGAAAGATTTTGTCAGAAAGGGTTTTTGAGGCTTTTGGAGGCTTCAAAATTGCACAAAACTATGGTATTTACAGGGTTTTGTGCACCTTCCCGGCAGAAAACGCCGGTATTTACACGGTTTTCTGCGCTTTTCCAGCGCTCAACCGTGGTGCGCCTTTGGATCGACGGCTACAAAATACCGTAAATACCAGTGTTTTCAGCTCCTCCTGTCTTCAAGCGTGGCCTTAGGCCTTGCCGCGGCTGTGGATCGACGGCAACGAAACCTCGTAAACACCAGTGTTTTTGAGCACGTCCTGTTTGCAAGCATGGCCTGCGGCCACGCAATTTAAAGGGTCGCCGCACGTCACTATGTAAATCCGAAGTTGCATTTGAGAAATATGTGACTCCTTTTGAAGGCACGTCAACCTGTATTGAAACCGCTAGACCGCTACAGCTTCTGGAGGTTTTGTCAAGCGTTTGTGCATTAGTTGTTCTTTCATCACGCTCACTCACTTCTCTTCAAACAAGTGGGGGGCCTCTCACCTCCTCCCGGATTACGCCTGATTCCCTGCTACCTTTCGTTCACCCCCCTCCTCTCTCAAGTTTGTAAAGGCGTCTCCAAACCGAGAAACTGTAGATTAGACACCTACGAAGTCACGGAGGCCTCATGGTCCAGATGGGAAAGAATCGAAAAAATGTCTTGCATCGACTTGAGGAGAAGATCATCTTCGATGGGTACAAACAGATGCGCGAGCAGAAAGCTTTCCTCTGGGGAGTTTCAACCTCCCAGAATGCCCGGCATATGAAAGTGAATGGAGTCAGCTGATGGCATGGTTTACCAAATCAAACGTGTAAGAAAGGGCAAACCTTACAGTTGCTGCTTTGCTCCGTGTTATGTCGTCCCACCGTGAGACTCTTAAGAGCCTGAACCTGGAAATCCACCGCCCCCGAGTCTCCCCGCCTGGCAGATCTCCAAGCGGAACGGCCTGGTGAATGGGCCTGGGACTCAACTGCGACAGATGCAGTTGAACGAAACCGAAGTGGCTCGCTTCGGTGAGGTGAATGGAAACCAAACATTCGTATGTGGGGCCTCTGAATTTTGAGATTGGGACTTGCTGACAACGGTATGCTGGGCAGATTCTAGGGTCCTTCCTGCATTTGTCTTCCGATCTACATTTTCATCAGAATGGCCAGATGGCATCGGATTGCCTGGATTGCACTTGGCTCCAAACTCCACTGGTTGTGTTTGGCGCTCCAAAGAGTCCTCTGTCCAGCCCAAAAATGGCTCCTGGCCCTACTAGGAGCAAGAATCTAGCCAAACCATCGCTACTAGGGGCTCCTGGCATCGCTACGAACGGAGCAAGAAGCTCGCTTTTCGCTCGGAAGCGACTCCTTCGTTCGTCTCATCGGGGAGCGCCGCAGCGATGAACGACCTGCGCGTGCCGCGACGGACGGCGACCGAGGTACCTCAATGGCTTCATCACGCGACCTCAGTGCAAGGCCCGGGTCAGGTAGACCGCCTGTCGCAAGGGAGCAAAGTGTTGAGAATGGATTGGCCAATTCAATTCGATTCAGCTGTCGTATGGCATACTAAATCTTGCCTCACGTAGCTTTCTAATGGATTGGGCGTGCATCCAATCCTGAAGATTTGGCAGAAGACAGCCCCGTTGGCACGCCGGCTTTCTCGATCCATTTGTCCCTCCCCGTTGGGGTCCGCCACGACCGTTCTCCTTCTCCGTCCGGTGGGAGGAGCTCTTTCGGTCCTTGACCGACGCGACGGAAGATTCCGAGTTCGCCGTGCGGCACTATGCGAAGGAGTCCGGTGGCGGTGGTGGAGTGGGTGAGGCCGATGGGTCTGATGATTTGAAGAAATTCTGGGTGATGCGCAGAGAAGTTTGATTCTTGGTGGTCTGAAGCTCTGATTCTTGGACCGTATTACTGTATACAAGTGGGACATTGTGGGACATTGTGGGCTATTTCTCGCCGTTTGGCAACCTATGATAGGCAGAAGAGCATTTATGCGTTTTGACATCATAAAAACCCGCATTGAAGACAACATGACAAACGAGCCCAAAACCACCCAAAAATGATCCAAACGACCCAAAAGCCCCACCACCTCGTGCCTTTTCCAGACATTTTTGCATCCAATCGGTGGCTGACCCGCAAAGTTCTCGTGCAGAAGCACAGACCAGAATTGGTGACCCAGCAAAGTTCCTCATGATGTGATTTTTCCCATATGTTTCGATGTCGCTGAAGCAGCTGACATTTGAGGCGATTTGATTTCCGACTCAGTTGGTACACTTGGTACCCGACCCTCACGCTGGATCTCTGCTTCGTTCGCATTGGTCCGGACTGGTGGGACGTGGACCGGAGTGCATTGTCCCACCAAGGGCCGCGCGAGGACCGGACTGGATGGAATGCATTTCACATTGATTTCAATCGGTGTTTTTCATGCCTTTCGTGAGGTCATGGTCGTGCGGACCTCATCAACTCGGTCTTCAAATGATAGCATTCCTGTTGCCTTTCACTTTTAACAGGGGCGCCATTGGTTTCTTCGCCGCGTCGCGCGCGCCAAATCCTTCAACCATATCCTTTGGGGCTTGGAGGGGCTGTTGCGCCGGCGAGAGTGATCGACGAACCTCTGGGGGGGAGCTGTTCTTGCGACTTTCCCAGCGATGGCCGCGCTTGCCGCTGGGCTGCGCCAGAGGGGGCCGGGCGGACGCCTCCGAAGGACCCCGGGTCAGACTCCGTAACGGACTCCGTGCTAAGGCTTTCAACCAAAAAGACACATGACTCAACTTGCTCTTTGCCAAGCTCCAAACTTGCTACTGTAACCCTCTTTGCTTGGTATATACATGAAACACGTGTATCGGATTTAACAGCGGAGCGCCTTCCACTACAGATCATCTTTACCGAGATCCGAATGTTGGTATGAGAAGGAGATTCCGGCGGAAGAACACGGTGCAAGAACGTCACCGTCGTTGCCGAGCTTCCGAGCCGGCGGCGCCGAGCTTCCAAGGCCTCTGCGATGAAGATGTTGAATGCCGGGGAGCCAGCAATTTGCGCTTTCACCGGCGTAGCTTCTAGCTACTAGTAGAAATGCCCTTGTTACTAGTAGCGTCCTTAGTAATGCCAGAAGCTACTAGTAGCGTCCTTGCTACTAGTACTGTAGAAAGATGTAGAAAGCTTTGGAGGGGCTGAAAGCTGAGCACTTCAGAGTTTTACGACGATCATCTGAAACACTTCAGAGAACGTTCAGGCTTTCGCAGGGCATGAAAAGGATTCGATTTGTTGGTTCTTCCTGGTGACACCTGGCTTTTGATAGTATACCAGGAGTCACAAAGGGGTGGTGTTTAGTCCCTAAGTGAGTGGACAATGGGCACCCCCCCGTCCATTAAGCACCCCTTGAAACTGCTGGTGCAGACATGTTTTCTGGGATTCTGCAACCCTCTCAAAAATCCATTCCTGGCAACTTGAGAGCCGGTTGCTCTATGTCATGCATATTTTTGGAGCAAACGTGTTGAGTAGGATCCTGGATAGTAGGAGAACATGCTCCAGCTGCCAAGATTTACAGTGCTTCTCCTGCTCACTGGAGCACTTCAGCGTTCAATTTCCAAGCTGTCCAGCTCTACCTGAGGTGCTTGGTGTGGCTGGGTGTGCGGAGAGAGATAAGGCCCAGTTCATCGATCGATGTTGGACGTCTTTGAACGGACATTCTTCGGGCAGCAATTGGTTCCTGAACATTCAGGGGGAAAACACAATGTCATATAACCTCCTGGACCTTCCAACTACCAACAATTCCCCAATAGCCATGCTATGGGGTCTTGCAAAACTAATAGGCGGACGGGCGCCGTCGGGTCACCGTCAGAGCTGGTGGGCGGATGGTGTCCCGGTCATGTTTTGATTGTGTCCCAGTCATGTTGTGACGGTGTCCGGTCATGTTTTGATGGTGTCCCGATCATGTGATGGTGGCGCGGTCATGTTGTGATGGTGTCCCGATCATGTTTTGATTGTGTCCCAGTCATGTTGTGACGGTGTCCAAGGAAGAGATGGTCGATGTGTTGAAAACAGCAGCTGTTTCCAGATTTTTCTTTTTGTCTCGGTTTGTATCTTGCTATTGGGGTCTCCAGCTGGGCTAATTTTTATAGTCGGTGTTGTTTTATGGTCGTTTTGGCTGTTTTGTTTGTTTTGCAGATTTCTGTAGTCGTTTGTTTTTTTTTGTGCGGGTGTTTTGTGCTGATTTGTGGTCGTTTTGTCGTTTGCGCTGACTTGCGGCCGTTTGCGCAGAAAACCGGGTCAATGACCAAAGCTGCATAGAATGCTTCTTGGTCGTAAGATCCAGGCACACGAAGTCCAAAGACTATACCAAAGACTGAGGAGAATTCCTTTCAGGTCCCCTAGTTAGACCATTCCCTTTGTACCAGGACCTTCCCTTCCTCTGTATCTGTAAATGACTCCTATAGAGGTGAGTCGAGGTGTCCCAAAACCACCGGACTTGGGCTCGGTCCAGGGCGATGTGGCGGGCCGTCAGGCGGGAGACGGAGACGGAACGAGCGAAGGTGACAAGCTGCAGGGAAGCGATAGCAAGTCACCATGTTAAGAGAAAAAACCGTTCCCAATTCGACAAAGGAACGATTTTACTTTTGAAAATGGTCTAACGAAAGGGGACCTGAAAGAGAGTTGCCTTTACTTCACTAAGGAAACATATTGTAGTATAGTACTTTGGACTTCTAGGGTATAAGAAGGCGTTGAGTGCTTGCCTCCCTTTCAACAACGCCCCGAAGATCACATGTCGGTCACAAAGAAGTGGTCTCCTTCTTGCCGAAGATCCGATTCTTTGACGAGCGAAGACTGAGTGGTTTTCAGTCCACCAGCAGCCAGGGCCTGAGAGTAAGTCTAGCTGGGGATGGATTACGATGGATCCATCCCTTTTTGACGGTTATCCAGTTCCCCCTCTGTGCCCTCCCATCCTCCCCCTCCGTCAGGCTCCCCGAGGCGAGACCAAGCTCGGCGGCCCCAAACGACGCGTCGTCGCACGCGTCGCACGGGTCCACGCGGCTGGTGACCGGTTCTTCTCGCCCATGACGTGGTTCACCGCGGTGAACCCCGCGTGGCGTTCTCAGGTCCATGACGACTCCGTCCGGATGCCGAGTGAACAGCATGATGCAAGTGGACGAAAGAAGGTGGATGACTGCCAATCTCACACCCAGCTTAGATTGTTTTGTTTGTTGTGGGGGGCCTCATACTTGAAAAGGACATGCTGGTCAGAGGTACGTCTTGCAATGATGCAGCGTGAGACGTGACAAGTATACTCAGTATACTACAAGAGGAAACAACCAAAGGGAGGTGGGTGACATGGGCCAAAGGGTGACGTCTTCGGAAAAGGGCTCAGGAGTTCTTTCAGAAGTTCCTTCCTGCCCCAAAACTGAACTACACTCCCGAAACCTAACATAGACCCTGACAATGGTCCCATGGAAGACTATTTTCCTCTACCAACCAGGGGTTTTCAGGTTCCATGTTAGTCTTCCAGGGTGTATCGTACGTGTCTGGAGTTTTCATGTCCGCTATGGCTCTCAAGTTGTGGGTCCTTGGCCCAAGGCCGTTGGATGCGACGAGAGCCACCCGACAGCGGCTTAGAGTGAAGCAAGCAGCAAAAGAAAGCCAGCCAAATCCAGCCAAACTCTGAAGGGATCCGACTTCGACCAACACACCGAACCAGCGACCAACTTCCCAGAAGCTTGAACACTCGACACCGCACCCCCCACACCGACCGACCAACGACCGGGGTCGTGGCCACGCTCCGCCGTGGGTCGCTGCGATGACGTGCTGCTGCGGCTGGGCGAAGCTCCTGGCGCCGCAGCCGGCGCCGAGGAAGTCGACGGTGGAGTCGGTGGACAGCCTGGAGCGGGGGGGGGTTTTGGCATGCTTTGGGCGAGTCCACGTGGGATGGAGAATGGGGAAAAAAAGGGCACTTGCGTTAGGCGTCAAGCTGCAAGCTTGAATGGAAAGTGGTGCTGGCACCAATTTGGGTGCATTTTGGCCGTAGGAACTCCGAAATAGCAGCTTGGAAAAGAAGCTTCTGATTGAAACATGCATTGTGAGGAAACTGGATGCTGCACCTGGTGTAGCTTCTGGAAAGGCATGAGTAGACAAAACCTGCTTTTTTCACGTGACCCGACCGTGACGCAGGAGCGCCTCCGGAAGGGGAGCTGGACTTCGCCACTGCCTTCCCCGCCCCTCGTTTCAGGTAGTGAAAGCGCCTGGCGATCCAGAATCCGCTGGGACACCGGTTTGAAGCGAACATTTGTATGTGACAGCTTCCTGCATCCCCGTCTCGATATCCACATGAGGCATGAGACACTTTTGACGACATGAACATGATGTTCATATCATTTCTTCCGCTCTCAAGACTAGAGGCACAAGCACTTGGTGGGTCCTGCCTGTTCATCCCGAAAAAACACGGGGACACCATGCAGGTTCTGCACCCGGCTGAGGCATTTGCAATGTTCTGCGGAGCCGGAGGGTTTGGATCTGGACTACGAATGGCTGTTGGACATGGTGCGGGTCGTTGAACATGTTCCGTGTGAAAACCGGGCCCGGCGGCGACATGGAGAGGTTTTCTCATTCAAGCGCCAAGCTGCTCATATTGGGAGACCAATGTGACCCATCCAATAGTACAAGTACAAGTATCTAGCTCAGCCAGGTCTGGCTCGGCTGCTTCTAGGGCCGCCACTGTGGTGGGTCGGATAGCGGTGCCCCCAAAGGACGAGTAGGGCTTCGATTTGGCGCAGGAAAGACCTGAAACCGGAAACCCCTTGGGGCCAGTGGCAGTGTCTTGGGAATGGAAAAGGAGGATACGTATTTTTTGTTCTCTTTTTTTGAGGGAAACAGTTTGCTTTTGAACAACGACGTTTTTTAACAGTCAGACCGTCAGACCAGTCTATTTGACGGGTCAGACCGGGGAATCATCATCCAGGTGGATGTGGACAATGCCGCCTCCCGTTTTGACCGCGTGGTCGACATGGACGCCGCGCATGGCGTTCACATTGAGGGCGCCCGGCACTTCTTGACGGAGCAACTGCTGCTGGGCTGAGGTCGACCTCTTTTTTTTTCTCACCGACGATCAACACGCCTTCTCAGTATCGTTCCGTGTGGAGAGAATACTGAGATCGTCAAGAGATGTTCTCCACTTTTGAAGGTGGATCTTGAACGTATATGTTTTATCCCTAGTTTGCCCCACGGCTTTGCTGTGAACAGAATAGGACTCCTTTAAATTGCAGTCTCCAAAGAATAAACATATAACACATACATGCTTCAACGCCATTGTTCTTCATCATTTGTGTCAATCCTTCCGAGGTATTCTTATCCGGGCTCCCTGCCGCGCGCACTGACCTTGAGCGAGCGCGAGCGGGTGCTGCGGGTGCTCCAGCCCACGGCGACCTTCGAGATGCTCAACCGGATCCCAGCGGAGCGCCTGAGCCCAGACGATTCATCAACCGAGCCCAGGACGAGCAAACCGGACGTTGGACGTTCGAAGAGGTTGGAGGGTTATGAAAATTCATCAGTTTACATGACTGTTAGGGTTGTCTCTAGATCTTAGGAACGACTTAAGCTCTAGATCTTGGGGTCTAACTATGCGTTTTTTTTTCTCACATGCTGGTATAAGCAGCCTTTCAGAAATTGGTGAAGCCTCTCACATTTGGAGATTCGGGGCCTCATTCGACGAACATCAACGGTAGACGGTGTTGGAGAGTGAGAGAGAGAGAGAGTTATATAGAAAGAGTCAGATGGTATAGATTTCTTTGACTCTGACTATTAATCTTTTTTGCTTTTTCTTTCTGTCAGATGTGTTCTATTTTTAGATGATCAAAAGGTCAGTCAGTCACAAAGCAGTGTTTAAATCCGTCAGGGTTTTGAGAGCTTTCTTTTTTGGTATTAATTACGATCTCGCTTATAAGCCTCACCCACTGGGATGCTCCACCAGTCTGTCAGTGGCTTCAGCGGCCTAGGTTGGTGGAGGCCAAAAGTCAGGAAGGTCAAAAGCTTCGGAGGCGACGGTGGGTGGGACTGTTGGGAGGTTGGAAGGTCAAAAAGCCTGGATTCCTGTGGATCGTTTGTGGATCGTCGTTTCGGTGGATCGCTGAACTGGAGGTGGATCGCCTCTGAAGATGAAGGACGGGTAGGAAAGACGGGTGTAGGAATCGTTCACAGCGAAAAGGTACTTGGCTCATCTGCACATGGTGCACCTGCACGACCTGCTGTTCAGGTGGCCTGCATATGGTTGTGTCTAAGGTACATGGTGCACCAGGTTATTCAGGTCTATGCTGATCGTGTAACACGCCAGCTCAAACGACATTTGCCTCATTTCTCAGGCCATCTTCCGCTTCCTTGGAAGCTTCCAACCCATTGGTCCATTCCCAAAGGAGGAACTCACCAATTGGTCCCATTGCCTGGCTTGTCTCTCTTGGAAGATCACATCCAATCACATCTCCTAATAAGTCGTGGAGAACCCCACGAAGCCAACGACTCGCTCTAAGACTGGCACCATCGCTCGCTCGACCGGCACGGGCAGCGCACAGGAAGCTCCTGGCGGGTGCCACCATCGTCTTCTTCACCGCTGGTTATGCCGGGAAGCGCTTCATCTATGAGCGGGCGATGCAGCTGGGGGTGAAGAGCGTGACTGGGCAGCGATGTGGAACGCCATATTTTCACGCACGATTCGGTTAGGGCCCGCAGTGTTGAGACGGTGTTTGATGTGAGTCGGGCCTGTTCGCTTTCGGACATCATGAAGCTCTGTGAAACGAGACGCACCCAGTTTCGCGAAAACGGTGGCAGTGTTTCAGTGTGGTCATTTCATATTTTTCGACCAACTGGGGTCAAAGACGGTCAAAGACTTGTAGGTGATCATTGAGCATCCGGACAGTTGGGCGAAGAGCTTGGTAGATGAAGGCAGGGAAAACACCGCACGGCGCAGGGTCCGGGAGCTGGTCCCGTTCGCGGACACCTGTAAGACGCGGCCGCCCATTTTCCAGAGACAGGTACTGAGCAGAGTAGTTCCAGTAGCTTTTCTTTTCAGAAAAACACACATCCCAGGTTCCACAAGAGGTCTGCATATGAACCTGTTTCACCGTGAGCATCAAGCCACGCACCACACCCGTAACCGCCGTTTCTCCAGAGCTGTTTCCAAGATGGGCGGGAAGCCTTCCGCGTCTGCGCCCCCCCGCGGGCGAGCAATGGTGGCTCTTGACCAAAGGTGTGCCCAAGGGTGTGCCCAAGAAGTCACATCAGGCACCTGGAGTGAAATGCAGCACGGAAAGGAACAGACCTAGTCAGGGGTGTCTTTTTTGCACTCAAACTCGGTGCCTACCGATGTTTTGTCTGAGTTTAGTGCATGAGATGAACTCGTGAAGACCCATGCCACCATTGAGTTGCATTTTCTCTACTGATTTGATGGAGTTGCGTATTCTCCAATGACAGTACTGGTGAGATTTGAGAACTCCAAATTGGTGCTTCAAGACATGTTTCGTTGAAAGCCTGTCGAATAAAGATGCGCGCTGACCGAAGAAGGCGAGGAATCTTTGTGTTCGGTCTAAACAAACACCTGCCGGTTTGGTCTGCGAGGAATCTTTTCGGCTCTTCATCACCGCGGTGGAGAACGATCCCGTGTCCTTCGAAACCTTTGTGGAGCAGCTCCGCCTCAGACGCTTTGACGACTTCTGCGCGGAAGATGAGGAAGTCGTTGGAGCTGCACATTGCCACTGGGACGTTGGACCGTTGGACCTTAGGCTGCTCCTCCAACCTGGCGATGTCCTCCAAGCTACTTTTAGCCCTTAGCACCTGCACGCATCTATGACACCCAATACAATTCCTACTTTCCAAGTTTGCCACTCTCTTTGCAAGCTTGGGGAAGAAACAGTTATGTAGGGACGAATTAGAGAGGAAGCGGGGTGCCCCGGGTGGCCAGGGCCCCTGAAACTCCTGCCGGCCACATCGAGATCGTCGCTATGGACCTGGCGTGCACGTGTAGTTTCCACCCATCAACTCGGCTGGAAGCTTGATCAAACTAGCCCACAGGGGCGTGCCCACAAAAGACCTTTTTTTGGGACCCAAGGTTGGTATGGCTGCATGGCATCCAACT